CATTTCTAAGCAGGGTGTTCCTGATGTTTGTAATGTTACGCAGGTGAAGAAAGGCGGGCCTTGAAGTTTGTTTTATGAGGGAGTTAAAGGATCCTGATCCAAAGATAAATGTAGATGATTGTGTATTCTTGGCAGGGGTTTGTGCTCTGGTGCTTTCTGCTCCTATTATTTAAGGTTGAAACTCCTGCTGAGTATTCCTGTGGTCCTTCAGGGAGGATGGATGATGACAGCCTGCGCAGAAACAGTAATGATGATGGAAATGAGATGAAATAAGATCAGAGAGGATCTGTGATCTGAGGAAGACAACATGATTCCCTGTGGTTCACGGTCACCTCAGGGTGTCGTGTTGTCTTGTGTTTCCTCATCATCACGCAGGAATCACTCGTTTCCCTTCATGTTTATGTCAAACGAGGTGACGACACGTGCTGTAACGCAGAGACACGGACGGCTTTTTAATGCAGCACTTTCACAGCATGACTCGATTGCCTTCTCTGTGTGTGTTCATATATTTTCAACATTAGTTGATTAATCTGTCAGTCGATAGAGCATCCATCCATCGTCAACCGCTTATCCTGCGTACAGGGTCGTGGGGAGCCAATCCCAGCTGTCGATATCACCAAGCGTTTTATCACCAAAAATCTACAGGTTCCATCTCCTCAGATGTTCTGCTTTTATCAACACGTCCTCATTCCGTTTGTCACGTGCACCAAAACAAGTGAGCGTTGGTAAGTACCAGTCCAGTGACAGGCATACTGGATCTTGATACGTTACATTCTGTTTAACACGTGGAAAACATTGTGAAACGGGTCGTAACAAGCTGCTGCAACATCGACCTATAGCACCGTTTTTCTGGTGAGGACGGGTTGACTTTTCTATGTTTTTACATTTCTGTAAATAATGAATATCTTTGAGTTTTAAAGTTTTAACTGGAGAACAGACAAACAAGCATCTTGGGTTTTTTTATATCATATCCTAAATGATTGCTAGTTAGTCGCAGGCCCGTTTTATGTCTCAAAAACATACAGAGAATTCCCAGCCAGAGACATCTGGCAGGTTTATTACGCGTCACACTGCGTGAGGTGGGTCTGATAAACATTTATCACAGTGTGTGTCAGACTTTTAGAATAAAATAAACAGATTTTTAAAACACATCAGATGGTGTGATGAATTCGTGGTCATCAGCAGCATCTGCTTCCCTCCTTATGTTTTGAAAATACAGCAAAACAAGTTTTAGCCATAAAGGGACACAGTTTTCTCATCTTCATTCAAAAATTGAAGCTAACAGCGTTTGCCAGTGTATGTTGCATCATTTCATGGTTGGATCGGTTGGACTGTCTTTGGCTCTCGAATCGGCTGTCGAATGTATATGTCTCACAATGAGTCATGTTTTCTTTCGGAAAAAGCCAAAATCACACAGTGAAAAGGAGCAGCAGTGTACTTTATTTCCTCTGGTTCCCATTCAAATTCCCCATAAACGTTATTACGTTATGCAGAGTTGGAGCGCTTTTACTGCTTGGATCAGCATGAAACTCTCCTGGATGCATCATCAAAACAAAACATGAACAACTGTGTTTGAAAATATCTTAATATCTAGTTATTTGATAAAAATTCGAAGATACAAGAAATCTGTGGGCACATTAACTGAAGGAGAGAAATCAACTACGACTCCCATGGTGCATTTCAGTTTAAAATTCTGTTACACGTGCTGCTCACAATGAGCTGAAGTTAAAAATGACACTGAAAAAAAAAAGAGTCCACGCACAATAAGGGGCACACTTTGGACTTGGTCATCTCCAAGGGTCTGGACATTTCCAAGGTTGTGGTGACTGATGTTGCTCTCTCTGATCATTCCTGTGTTTTCTTTGAGAGTGTTATCTGCGTGAACACAAATGTACAAACAGAGGTGATCACAAAACGGCATGTCACTGAAAACTCTAGTGAAAAATTTATTGAGGCTTTCTCCTCGACACCCGCCCTCTCACGGGTCTCAGTCAATGAGCTTGCAGATAATTTCAGTTCTAAAATTACAAATGTTATTGATGTCATTGCATCAGCCTAGGTGAAGGTGGTCTCTGGTAAGAGAAGATCTCCATGGAGAAATGCCACGCTGAGTAGAACTCAAGAAAGAGTGTGTCGAAAAGCTGAACGCAGGTGGCGGAAAACAAATCTCCAGGTTCATTATGACATCTATAAAGAGAGACTTCACATTTATAATTTAATGCAAGGCGGTCCTTCTTCTCTGACATCATCACCAAAAACACTAATAATGCACGTGTCCTGTTTGCTGCTGTGGACAGGCTAACCAACCCTCCTGTGTCTGTAGCCTCTGAACTTCTATCCACCAGGGCCTGCAATGAATTTGCCTCCTTCTTCACAGACAAAATTCAAACAATTAGACAAGCAATCAGTGCCTCCATGTCAGTAACAGGATATGTCTTGTCCCTGTGTCCACTTAAAAACAATTCATATAGCATGAGACAATTTGATTCTATTAGCCATAAAAACCTGGAGGACATAACATCTGAAATCCTCCTCATGCTGCCTTGATATTCTGCCAACAGGTTTTTTCAAAAATGTGTCTAAATGCATGGCCTCAGATCTACTACAAATTGTCAACATGTCTCTCCTCTCAGGTTTTTTCCCCACAGGCCCTGAAAACTGCAGTCATTAAGCCACTCTTAAAAAAGAGCAATCTAGACAGTTCACTAATGAGCAGGCCCATATCAAATCTCCCATTTTTAAGTAAAATCATTGAAAAGGCTGTTTTTCAAAAGCTTAGTGCTTTCTTGGCACTAAATAACTGTTTTGATGTCTTCCAGTCAGGTTTCCAACCACACCACAGCACTGAGACGGCTCTTGTTAAGGTCTTCAATGACATCCATTTAAACACTGACAGTGGCAGAATTTCAGTCTTAGTATTATTGGATCTCAGTGCTGCATTCAACACGGTCGACCACAACATATTACTAGACAGACTTGAAAACTGGGTTGGACTTTCTAGCACAGTACTAAAATGGTTTGAATCCTACTTAAAGGAGAGGGACTACTTTGTGTCTATAGGTAATCACACATCTGAGCTGACAAAAATGACATGTGGAGTTCCCCAAGGCTCCATTCTGGGACCTCTTTTGTTTAACATTTACATACTTCCACTGGCTCAGATTATGAAAAACAACAAAATATTTTACCATGATTATGCAGATGACACAGATTTACATAACCATTTCACCAGGGGACTATGATCCCATACAGGTGCTGAGTAACTGTATTGAGCAGGTCAACGATTGGATGTGCCAGAATTTTCTTCAATTAAACAAGGATAAAACTGAAGTTATTGTCTTTGGCGCCAGGGAGGAACGATTGAAAGTCAGTGCTCAACTTTAATCAATAATGTTAAGAACCACAAATCAAGCCAGAAATATTGGTGTAGTCATGGACTCAGACCTGAATTTGAGGAGCCATATTAAAGAATATCTCACGGATTAAAGGACTTATGTCTCAGCAAGACCTGGAAAAGCTTATCCATGCATTTATCTTCAGTCGACTTGACTACTGTAACGGTGTCCTTACAGGGCTCCCTAAGAAATCCAGACAGCTGCAGCTGATTCAGAACGCTGCTGCTCGAGTCCTCACTAAGACCAAAAAGGTGGATCACATCAGTCCAGTTCTGAGGTCTTTACATTGGCTTCCTTTATGTCAAAGAATTGATTTCAAAATCCTGCTGTTAGTTTACAAAGCACTAAATTGTTTAGGGCCAAAATACATTTCTGATCTTCTGCTTCGTTACGAACCATCCAGACCTCTCAGGTCGTCTGGGATCAGGTCTGCTTTCTGTCCCCAGAGTCAAAACTAAACAAGGTGAAGCAGCGTTCAGTTATTATGCTCCGTATATCTGGAACAAGATAACTGCAGGTCTGCTGAAACTGTCAGGTCTTTTAAATTAAGACTGAAGACTTTTCTTTTTACCTCTGCTTTTATTAAATATTTAAGATTTTTCTTTTTATTGATAACTTACACTGCACTGTAACCTTTACTGTCCTGTTTCTTTTTTTTTGTTTTTAGCTTTTTACCATTGCTTTTAATTAAATATTTACACAGTGAGAAATGAGTAGGTAGTTGAGTTGGATGATTGTGGTAGCGAGATTGAACAGAGTGAAGGAAGTGGTCTTAAATCTCGCGCCTGTGTGATTTGCAGGAACCTCTGTCTACCTGTAAACGCGCAGGTGGGTCCAGAGTATAACTGGGTCAAAGTGGCCTGCGGACAGACATGTCCTGGTTTCTCTGTAGTCTCTGAGGGTTTTTGGAGTTTCAGTGGCGCCAAAGATTGCCATGGACCCAAGTACAGACTAGCTAGAGAGAGTAGATTAATTTGTGTACTTCTCTGTTTATTCTCTTTTTAAAATGATTGTAACTCAATTGTTTGCTCAACCCCTCAGCCTGTTTTTATTTTCCATTTAACTCTTTTAACCCTGATTGTAACACTGTAACTTTTATTATATTTTACGTTGCTTTTATGTTTTATGTAAAGCACTTTGAATGACCTTGTTGTTGAAATATGCTATACAAATAAAGTTGCCTTGCCTTACTTTTAAATTGCCAAAATAAATTAAGATAAACAAATAAAATTAAATAATTAAATGACTCAATTAATAAATAAGCCATTTAAATGCACCAAAATAATATTTTAAAAAAAGTATAAATAAATGTTTCATTTTCTAAATTAATTTGTTTTTATTAACTTGTGTTTAACTTTATGACATTTGTATTAGTCCCGCTATTTTACTTTCTCATTTGATTTATTAATTTATAAATGTTTTAATGTATTTTATGTATGTATGAATTTTATTTCTGTGTTTATGCTTCATTGTTCAAATGAGGGGGCTATCATTCAAAGTTTATTCTGTGGTCTACTTTCGCCTTTAGATTATAATGTTCCATACAATTCCAAGTGGATGAAAGAAAAATTGGACCACAGACAGGTGACACAGCCACAGGTGTACCTATGTTGTGGCTCAGCAGGTGTCGTTGGACCTCGGAGGGGGTGGGGTTTGATCCGAGGCATCGCATCACTTTGATCAGCTCCTGGGCTTGGATCTTCCCTTTCCGCTGGCGGTCGTACAGAGAGAAACACTCCTTAAAGTCTGCAACAACACAATCAACCACAACCAAGGTTTGCAAAGAAAAGAACAGCAAAGACTTGGACACATCCAGCATGAATAAACATGAGGAGCTGGATGAAAAAGTCATGAAGGTTCAAAGAGGATTATACGCACACTGATCAGAGCTACCTTCTTAATCCTACGTTAAAGACAGTTTTAGGTTTGCCTAGATCTTCAGGGTGTCTTGCAGCATCACATTAATATATTATTCAACAAAAACGTATCAAAGAAGTTCTATTCCAGTTTCTAGACAATCCTTTATGCAATATTTTTAATAGAAATACGTAAAAATGGAGACTTATGAAGATCTTCACCAGGAACTAGAGCGAAAAATGCAAAAAAGAATAGAGTTTAAGTTGCTAGTTTTGTTTTTTGCAGCAGTGGTTATACTTCCTGCTCAGCCGCAAACAGCTGGTTAACACCAATAAACATTTAATAAATAATTAATCTAAAGCTGACAGACTGCCAGTCAATTAACTAGTGAGTTCAAATCTATTTGATAGAAACAAAACCATTAAATCCACAACAACTCCTGTATTCTTTCAAGCACATACAAAGATCTGAATTAAATTTCTCCTCATTAGTCTAAAATCTGTGTTCAGATAGGAAACCTTTGTATTTAATCACATTACTGTGTGATTCTGCTCAGCGTGAACAGGAACAAGTGCTGCTTTGTACTGAGGCAGGCACACGGAAAACTCTGCTGTCTCTGATTAAATACCAACGCTGCTGCTTCTGGCTCGGCTTGTCTGTGAGAAATAATCTCATAAAAACGACTGAATTTGTTCCCGGCGTTGCCAAAACATTACATTAAAAGAAACGTATCAGTCATCTGCAAAGTGGCAGTTTTTATTCTAATAGCTGGAAGCTGGAATTCGCTCGTGTCACATTACTGCTCCAGCTGTAACCAGAAATGTATGAGAGTCTTACCGTTAATCTGATCCTGTGTCAGGAACTTCGCCTGCAATGAAAGGAGGAAAACAGCACGAGTGAATGGGGGAAAAGTAGAAAGTAGGTTGCAGGTAAAATATCAAAGAAGGCTCAGTAATTATCTCACCATTGTGGCTGTGTGTGAGCGGGCAGATGGTCTGAACTCTGCCGGCTGTTACTCAGCTCAGGAAACTGATCCTAGCCGGTGTAAGATGAGGAACGTAAGTGAAGTGGATGGAGCATCCTGGCTGGGACTCCATGAGGAAGAAAGTCACCGATGCCCCACCCCCGCTGTTAGAGCTCAGTGCCACACTGGTTTTAATTTTTCTTGCATTAAAAGGGGAACTCCACAGATTTCCCACATGCACATGACTTTAGCTGTTGGGGAGCTCCACTGCAAATGTCTTAATAGTATCGTAAAGCCTTCAGTGTCTCAGAGGGAGCAGTGTGAAGTCTGAAACATGTCCTCAAGTGATGTATAAAAATGAAACAAATCTATTGGTGTGGAATCAGAAAGAAGTGAGCTCACCAGACCTCTGAAGCCTCAACCCGTTTTCATCCCAACTTTAGCCTTGTTTGTGCCCTATCCTTTAGTTTTTTTGCACATGTAGGGCTCCACTGTCAAGTTAGCAACGACGGACTTTAAAAATAAAACTAGTGTTTAATGTCACAATTATCACAATTTGGTTAGGTTTAAGCACCAAAACTACTTGGTTAGGTTTAGGAAAACACCATAGTTTGGATAAAAATAACTGCATTACTTACGTGATTAATTACATAAGTAACCAGACTTCCACAAACACTGGGTGAAAGTCCAGTTTCTGACCCCGCCCGTCCACCCCAACCACCTCTTTACTGTGACGTTCCTGTTATTTATACTAGGCCTACTTTAGGCATTGAACAATGACGCTAAAGTGACTGCTATGTGGTGTAAAAGTGTGTTTGCCCCCTTCCTGATGTCTTGTTTTTTTGCATGTTTGTCACACTTAGATGTTTCAGATCAACAAATTGACAAAGATAACACAAGTAAACACAAAGTTTTTAGATGAAAGTTTTTATTATTAAGGGGGAAAAAATCTTAACCTACATTGCCTTGTGTGAAAAAGTGAAAAAGCCTTAACCACTTTTTTAAGGTCACGCCACAACATCTCAATCGGATTCAGGTCAGGACTTTGACTAGGCCACCCCAAAGTCTTCATTTTGTTTTTCTTAAGCCAGTCAGAGGTAAACTTGCTGATGTGTTTTGGATCATTGTCCTGCTGCAGAACCCAAGTGCGCTTCAGCCTGAGGTCACAAACAGATGGCCAGACATTCTCCTCCTTTTTTTGATAGACAGCACAATTCATGGTTCCATTTACCACAGCAAGTCTTCCAGGTCCTGAAGCAGAAAAACAGCCCCGACCATTAAACAACCACCACCATATTTTGCTGTTGGTACGATGTTCCTTTTCTGAAATGCTGCTACTTTTATGTCAGATGTAATGGGACACACACCTTCCAAAAGTTCAACTTTTGTCTCGTCAGTCCACAGAGTATTTTCTCCCAGGTCTTGATGTTAATTTAGATGTTTTGTGGCAAAACTGAGACGAGCCTTCATGTTCTTTTTGCTCAGCAGTGGTTTTCGTCTTGGAACTCTGCCATGCCGGCCATGTTTGCCCAGTCATGAACACTGATGTTAACTGAGGCAAGTGAAGCCTGCAGTTCCTTGGATGTTATGGTTTTTTGTGACCTCTTGGATGAGTCATTGCTGCGGTCTTGGGGTAATTTTGGTTGGCCGGCCACTCCTGGGAAGGTTCACCACTGATTCATGTTAAAACCCTTTGTGGATAATGGCACTCACTGTGGTTTGCTGGAGTCCCAAAGCTTTAGAAATGGCTTTATAACCTTTTCCAGACTGATAATCTCAATGACTTTGTTTCTCATTTGTTGCTGAATTTCTTTGGATCGCAGCATGATGTCTAGCTTTTGAGGATCTTTTTGTCTACTTCACTTTGTCAGGCAGGTCCTTTTTAAGTGATTTCTTGATTGAAAACAGGTGTGGCAGCTGAGATATTGAACTAAGCTTTCCTAAAAGGGGGGCAATCACTTTTTCATAATAAAAAACTGTATTTTGTGTTTACTTGTGTTATTTTTGTCTAATATTTCAATTTATTTGATCTGAAACATGTCCATGTGAAAAACCCACAACATTTATTCTGTCTTGATAGAAAACCCTTAAGACAACTGAAGGTTTGAGCTGTGTAGATGGAGAGGGAAACAGGAGCAGAGATTGGCTGTGTCCTTGCTCTCTTCGTAAGATAGTCCCCCTCCTCATTACTGCACTCTGGTCTATATTCTGCTGCTGTTGGTGTAGAAATCTGTCTCTGTGCTTTCTCTAAAGGTGGATTTCTTTATGAATACTGACAATAATGTATAGATGCCTCCCAGCTGAACTAGATGAATCTTAATGTTCCATATGAAACATGTTTTTCCTTCCAAAATGTGAATGACTCAGATGCGATTCGAAACACACGCCTCCTCAAAAAAAAAAAGCATCAGAGATCAACAGGCAAATGGAGAGAAAACACACAAATCAGCAGGAAACAGAGTTTAGCTTCTCTGGAACCACAGAGGAAACAAACAACAGCTGAACATCAGTCACACAACCAAGTGGGGATTCAATTTATTTTAATTAGTACTGTTTTATTCAGACCACAGACGCCATATGGACATACAGTAGGATGAAAACACGTGCGTATTGAGAAAAATGCAGGTCTGTTTCATCTGCAAACAGACAAAAACCAAACACAAAACTATGTTGATACATTTAATTTACTTTGCTGAAAGCACTCCAAGGCTTTTTCATCAAAAGCCATGTGGTGTCACGAGCCCCACAGCCAGCTCTAATTAAACAGACTGATTGGGGTTCATCAACGTAACACTGACTGGGCGCATTGTAGACCTCCCTTGACATTGCAGTGTCCACAGATAAGCCCCTTTTCCACTGGTACCAGCTCAACTCGACTTTGGCCCGCCGTCCTCCATTTATTATTGCAGATTGTATCCTCTCAGTGTAGCTGGTCATTATAGCAACGCCTCACACAACTGCCGCAACGCAATGTACAACACGACACACACACCAGCTGTTTCACTAGCAAGGACCACGGCACAATAGTATGTCATTTAAAGGTGTATTGAATATTCTGAATGTGCGGATAGATAAATGGATGTAGAGGGGAAGGATGCCGTCTGATAGCCCGGTTGGGAGGGTGCATGATGACCGGGCGGAGGAGACTCAGAGTGGGGGTTCCGTCTCGGAAGTGGTTCCACCCAAATAATTTACTGGCCCCCCAGACAGTACCTAGTGGAGGGTGGGAGGGAGGGATGAGTGGGGAAGTTGAATGGGAGGGGGGGGGGGGGGGGGGGGGTCGAGCAATCAGAGACAAATGAGGCCGGCTGAGTAGCAAGGGTATAGATAGGCTCGTCAGGTGACTAGAGGTGTGGTTTAAGTGTGGCCCCGGCTCTCTAACCTAAGTTAAAAATTAACTTCATCTCTTGATTTAAGTTAAAACAACATTACTCAGAATGTAAAGACAGAATAATCGGTATGGAAATTTTACAACTGGGTTTTGCTCTGCTGTTGTTGCTGGAGTCTCTGCGACGTTGGCTGCAGTAGTCGGTAGGACTGTGGAACCAGAGGGCTCCGTGAGCACTTGCAGAGCTCCTCAACTCCGAAAACAATTAAGCACATTTTCGATCCAACATCAATTTTCGTAAAACTGCCAATATTTGAAATCTACATAGTTGTTCAACTTCAAAACTGACCTCAAAATTTCTCATTAGTGGATTTAGTGAGGGGTCGGCACGGTGGTCCGATGGATAGTGCTGCTTCACTGCAAGAAGGTTGTGGGTTCAAATCCCGGTTGCCCCGGCCTTTCTGTGTGAAGTTTGCTTGTTCTTCCCGAGTCTGTGTGGGTTCTCTCAGGGTGCTTCGGCTTCCTCCCACCGTCCAAAGACATGCGGCTGGGACCCTGTACGCAGGATAAGCGGCTGATGATGGATGGATGATTTAGTGATGAAATAATGTACGAAAATTGTAAAACTTTTTGTAGCTGGCCTCTGACGTGCATAATGATGATAGTGAATAGTGAAGGTTCTCTCTGACCAATCGGTGGTCTCCAATGTTTTCACGTCACATTTTAGTATCGCCTCAGCTCGCTTGGAACCAGGTAATAGGTGCAGATACAACTTTTCCCTGTTGGAAAACCAACAAAAGGAGTAGAGTCGAGGCGAGCTAGTACCATACGGTGCAAAAGAGGCATTAGATCCTAAATATAAGTTGTGATACTGATTGTTTAAACTTTAAACTAAAAAAAGTTTAATTTCACTTTTCATTTCTATTAGTGAAATCTGCCCTGAGACCATGTTGAGAACTACAATATTTTACTATATTTAAAAAAGACAAGCCCCTGGGCCGTGTAGCTGTGGGGGGTTGCTGCAGGTACAGGTGACACATTGCTGTTTGAGTGATAAAAGGTTTATTAAGCCCTTTCCTGACATGGACTATGCAACTTTGGCTTCTTCATCTTTCTGTTAAAGTGATGGCTTTTTGTCATTCAAACTTGTCTTTTGAAATTCTGTTATGCCGGGGTTTTCTGACCGAGGTGGAGTGTGAACACGGCACGAGGCTGCGGGACGTAGATCAGCCCGGGGTACTTCTTCCTCAGGACGCTGTCGTTCCACAGACAGGCCACCCAGACCGCCACCAGACACAGAGCTGCAGAGAAACTACCAACCAGAGCGCGTTAACAGACATCTGTGTAAAGTATCTGAACACACGGGTTGTTTTGTGTCATCTTGTTTGTGTAGAATGACTCAACAGCTTGGACAGGTTGTCACGAAATTTGGTTTCATGTAAAAATCTTTGAAGAAAACTTTAACCCCTAAGGGGAAACCCCTGGCTTCACCACCCTGGCCAAGGTTTCTGGGATGTGTCCAAGTTAACTTTCATTGCTTTTTAGAGCAACTGAAGTTATGACTGTGCACCTTTTTAAGTGTGTAAAATGTTCATTCAAAATGTACTAGTGTGTCATACCCGTAGAGCACGAAGAGGCCGTTGCCGTCGGGAACCATGCCGCGCCTCCTCTGGTGCATCACTGTGGCTGTCATGGCGAAAAAGGTGAAGATGAAGAGGATGAAGGTCTGTCCCTCAGTGATCAGGTACCTGACAGGAGAAACAGGGAGAGTTAATGTGTCTGTTCACTGCTCTGCTGTTGTTAACTTCCTTCCAAGCAGATGTTATTGAGCTCAAAGATGTTTAAAAACCAAACTTGTGGGGGGAAAAAAAACCCCATTCAAATTGCTAAATTTATTTTTTTATTTGAGAAATAAAAATAACTATGGAGCAATAATGTGAAGGATGTACTGTTCATATTTAAAACCCCTGAAGTGGTTCTTGAATTCTGCTTTCATCCTTAAGTGCTGACCTCATTGACTAAAGTAATTAGGCAGCAACACCTGAGAACTACCTAATCAATTATTACTAACACCTGGAGGCGCGCACACACACACACACACACACACACGCAGGTGTGCAGAGGTTTGGTCTGTATACTTACTTGACATACTGACACACAGTATATAGGACATTTTGCTGTATTTCAAATCCTGTATTGTATTTATTGCTGTTCATCTGAACCCTGTAGTTACAAGTTACTGCAAAGAAGAATAACATTTATATTGTCAATGAAAAAATACAGTTTCAAATTTAATATTTCAATTTGTTAAAGTAGTGAATGCATGTAAGAAATGAGATACAACAATGTCATGCAGAATGAGCAGAATTTTACTTTTGAAACTTAAGTACATTCACTTTAGAATACTCTGAGTAGAATTTAAAGGACTTTAATTGTGAGTATGGTATTTCTCCTCTTTCAAATCAGAAGAAAATTTGTACTATATTTAAAGACAATCTATTCTTTACTGTTAATTGTGGCTAGATGGTGCAGTGGCAGTGTTGTCACCCTTACAACTTCAGGACCGAGGTTCAAACCCAGCTCAGGACATCCCTCTAGTAAGGTTCCCCAAGCATAGAGCGTAATGCATTAGAATCAAGCTCCAATATCTCCCTTGTGCTCTGAACTGCTTTTTTTTTGGAGAAAAAGAAAGACATTAATGACCTCAAAAAGATACAATGATAAGATCTCTTCCATTTCACATATTGTAATCTCAATTCAGTATCCACTTGTCTTACCCAAGTCTCAAAAACACAGTCTCTCCTTATCTTATCTTTTCTCCTAAGGGGCTTTTAGGAGCAACAAATCAGATTTTAAGCCATTTGTGTATATGGGATGTTGTGCTTGTGTGTTTTCCCTCTCTGCCACCAGCAGCACCTTGCCCCGCCCCCAATGCTGCAGCCAGCAACGTGAGGAGCGCGGCTGATTCCACTCTCCTAATCAGTGGAGAGTATAAGGGCTGGTGAAGGAAGCTGTCTGTGAGAGTATGGTGGTCTACAACAAAAGAGACAGTGTTACTGAGTGTTTGGAGTCTGCGGCGAGCATGTGGTTGTTGGCAGAGACAGTGACCGGTAGTGGCAACAGTGGGAGTCTCGCGGTTAAGTGTAGTGATTTACTGTTTTTTGTTGTTTGCTTGTGTGCCAGTTAGCTATCACTCCTTTTGTGTTTATCCGATACCTTAGTTCCCTTTAAAAAGGACCCTTGTTCTGGCTTCCCTTTTGGGAGTTGTTTTCCGAGTGCATTTTAGACATTAAATATTGTAAATAAATCCTTTTTTTGGTTAACTTACTCCTGTTTCCTGGTTTTCTTCTGCCCTAGAACAAATTAATTGTACTTACCACCTCCCCCCTGGGCTTCAATCTGAGGTTTGTAACAAAAGTGATCTCAAAAAGATAAAGTTGAGATCTTAATGTTTTGAGAGTTAAAGGAAAGACTATTCTGAGCTAAAGATTTTGGGAGGTGTCTGACTTTACAGCAGTGTTTTTATAGCCCCTCCCTGCAACTCATGTTTGATGACCAAGTCAGCCCAAACACACCTAATGACTTATGATCCTCTGACTGTTCATGTAGCGCCATCATCAGGTCAACATGTTAATGTCATTCTCATCAGCCTCAGCTTTACGGTGTGTTTACTGCTAATTAGCTAATGTTTGTATGCTAACACCCTAAACTAGGGTTTGAACATGGAAAACATTACCTCTTAAACTTGTACTTAAATACTTGTAGACTCCAGACAGACAGCAAACTAATCCCAAACAGGTTCTGAGTATGCAGTGTGTTCACAAAACGTACTTGATGTTCATTACATTTAGCTAATGCTTTTATCCAAAGCAACTTACAATTGTTATACATGTCAGGTCGCACGCCTCTGGAGCAACTAGGGGTTAAGTGATTAAAATTATAAAAGGCAACACTTGTTTTTGCCCTCATTCATCCTGAGCTGAACTCAAAGATCTAAGACTCTCTGTACACAAAAGGCCTATTTCTCTTAAATATTGTTCACAAATCTGTCTAAATCTGTGTCAGTGAGCGCTTCTCCTTTGCCGAGATAATCCATCCACCTCACAGGTGTGGCATATCAAGATGCTGATCAGACAGCATGGGGATTGCACAGGTGTGCCTTAGGCTGGCCACAATAAAAGGCCACTCCAAAATGTGCAGTTCCACCACACAGCACAACGCCACAGATGTCGCAAGTTTTGAGGGAGCGTGCAGTCGGCATGCTGACTGCAGGAATGTCCACCAGAGCTGTTGCCCGGGAATTGAATGTTCATTTCTCCACCATAAGCCGTCTCGAAAGGCGTTTCAGAGAACAGCCCAGGTCCTCCACATCCAGCATCTTCACCTCCAAGATGGTCTGAGACCAGCCACCTGCTGCAACAATCGGTTTGCATAACCAAAGAATTTCTGCACAAACTGTCAGGAACCGTCTCAGGGAAGCTCATCTGCATGCTCGTCGTCCTCATCGGGGTCTCAACCTGACCTGTGCAACTTCGCACAGCCATTGAAGAGGAGTGGCCTTTTATTGTGGCCAGCCTAAGGCACACCTGTGCAATCCCCATGCTGTCTGATCAGCATCTTGATATGCCACACCTGTGAGGTGGATGGATTATCTCGGCAAAGGAGAAGTGCTCACTAACACAGATTTTGACAGATTTGTGAATAATATGAGAGAAACAGGCCTCTTGTGTGCATAAGAAAGTCTTGAATGTAGGCAAAAACAAAAGTGTTTATAATTTTGTTGTGTATGTACAAAGGAACAAGCTAGACCTGCTCAGTGGCATAATATTAAATAAATTGCAGATGGTGGTGAGGCGTTTACAGAGGATCATAGATAACAAAAAAACATTTCTTTTTCTCTTTGCAAAGTTTATTTGCAGTGACGATACAAACTGACTGTGCATGTTTATTCTTGATATCCATTTTTTGAATTCACTTTTTAATACCATGGCTACTGAGAATATAGTGTGTTCTGAATGTGTGCATCATTTTCAGATAACAGCATTTTCATCTCACCTTCAGTGGTCTAAACTCATCCTGATAGCCAGAAGGTTTCAGCCGCTTGGAAAAGACAGTGCCAACATATTTAAAAACATTACCTCAAAACATCGATTCTCTTTGAATGAACTCTGTGTAGTTATGAAAAAATAACACACTTCGTGGTTATTAGCCTGCATGTAGTTTTCTGATAACTTCACAGCTTCTTATGGCTTCTCTAACATTTTCTTTCAACTACTTCTATTTTGATGTCCTTGTTTGTTTTCCTGTTTTTCTGGCAGCGTTTCAGCAGGGAGCCGGTCGGCCCCTGAGCTCTTTAGATTCAGATTGTGTTTATATTGATGAAAAAGGAATATAATCTCTTTCTGCTGTTGGCCTCGCAGGACGTCTGTCTGGATGAGAGCATCTCAGAATATAAATGTGCCAAAGTCAAGTGCAGAATGCAAGACCAGACTTCACGCTTCCTCCTCACACAGTTTACACAACGCTCTCAACACAAAGTAAATGCAGATTTATGCACCTGCAGCCCGCTAATGGACTTAATCACCACCTCCAGCAAACACATGTTTCCCTCAGTGGCTCCATCTGTTTCTCACTATTTGAGAGCAAAAGCAAATAGTTTTCCTCTGGTGAGATGTAGTAAAAACACCACCATAATAGTCATGAAGTCTGTGATCTGCAGCTCTCTTCCACTTAAACAGGAAACAATATATCTGCTCTTACAACAAAAGGTTTAAGAAGTAAATAAGCTTCCTTTTGATTTATTACTATTGATCATTTTATTTTCAATTGATTTAAATTGCTGTAATTCTTTAATGCTTTGGATATATAGCATTTTGATGTCATTTTTAGTGCTGGGCAGTAATAAAAAAAAAAAAAAGAAATCACGATTAATCGCATGATTTTCTTGCGATTAATCACATTATTATGTGCGAAATTGAATAATGAATTCTAAAGTAATGTGTTGCCACTTTTAATTTAAATGTACTGCTATAAACACACAAGTGCAATAACATGTGGTTTGTAAACAAATAAGGTGCTTTTTCCCAGCAGTATTCCCTTTACACAGCGGCAATAAAATATTTCTTGTAAATATCAACTTAAACATTAATGTAATCTAATCAAATATAAAACCAAAGCTATTTGCCGCTGCCAGGGAATTACCTTTATCTAGCTTGGTAAAACAAATTACCATCAGAGTCCAGTTTTCTTGGGATTTGATCTGAACAGGTATCAGCAGAAACATTTTTCTTTTATCAGGGAACAGCAGAAAGGTCTTTTCACACGGGAAGCGACGCTCCGCCTGCATATTCGCTCTTCGCCTCTCATGTGAACAGACAAGGAGACAAGCGGCCAGCGAGTAAACGGCAGGCGCTCTACAGATAGTAACCACGGCAACGGCTTCTGTGCGCTTTACCTGATGCATTCTGTTTCAGTTGCATTCAGAGCGGGGACGCTCTGCCATGTAAATTCCCTCTGAATATGCATAGCCTCATGCACACGCCCGTCCGCTGCTGAAGTTGAATTGTCTCAAACTTTTTGTTTGCGACGCGCAGCACAGATCATTGGCAGAGAGACTGATCCTCGCTGTTTGGAGTTTCCAGAATCTATTACTGTTTAACTAAACAGGACATCAACAGGAGGGCATTCGCTTGGCAGAGCATCCCCTCAAAACTAGATGTAGGCCTGTCAGGTGAAGTTATGTAGACTATAATGTTAATTTAAGTTAAATAGGCTACAGCTGTATAGCGCACTCTCAATAGAGCGCCTGCCGTTTACTAGCGGCGCTGTCTTACTTTTCCCACACGCTGCATCCAGCGTAGTCTACCAGAGCCAGTAAGCAACAGACTTTCAAAATAATAATAATAAAAACTGCATTAACGTGTGATAAAATAATTGTCTGCGTTAATTAATAATGTGTTAACGTGCCGAGCCCTCGTAATTTTGTTTGCTGTATGAAGTGCAAACATTGCTGATTGCCAACAACTAATGTGGATCCTGATAAACAATAAACAGGGACTGAACCTGTGACGGTTCAGTTACAGGACAGCCCCTCTGTGGGATCTAAAGCAGGCTTACCAGTAGTAGGCAGCGCTGGGTATAAGCAGCATCCACGCTGCTGCCGGCATCTTCTCCTGATGTTTCCTGTGACTAAAACCACCACTGAAGAAGAGGAAGAGGACGAGGAAGAGAGGAACATACCTGGAGGAGACAGAGAGGAGAAAGAGAAAAACACTAGGCCTTTCTGAGTCTGCGCTCGTGTGCTTATAGATTGTCAAATTTCACCAGTCACCACTGTTCCAATTCAAAGTCCTTGATATACACAGTGTGCTGACACCAGGAACGCTTGTGTTGTCTTGTGAGTTAGCACTCGTGAACTCAACTTGCTAAACAACAAAGTCAGTTTAAACTTGGCACGATCTGCATTGAGAGAAGCCTACATACAGTACTGTTTTAATATTTAATGGTCCAGTCAACCTGAAAAGGGAATAGCAAACATCCTTGGAGTGTCAGTGTAATTACAGGCATTAAGCTATCTACGTTTACAAAGTTCAGCACAGAATCAGAAGGAGCTTTATTGCCAAGTAGTGTTTTACACATGCGAGGTTTTTGCTTTGGTGATAAGGTGCTACATGTAGACAAACATAAATAAAAGTAGAAATATATAAATATGGAATAGACAATGCAAGTTATATAAGAATATTAAAAAGTTATACAACTATTTGCAGAGAAAGAACAACGTCGCAGATATTTACATGTGCATTATTCTAGGTTTGTTGTGCAGACGTGTTGCAACAGAAGAGAGTATTGTGTACATATATTTTTAATTTACATAACTACAAAGATTAACAATACGTGCAATGTGCCAGGTTTGTGCATGATATGAAATGAAATTTACGTGGCAGAGACATTTGTATTATTTGCAAGGGCCACACAAGTGTCACTGGACAACTGGGACACTTAGAACGAGCCATTGTTAATGTTATTAGGAACACCTGTAAAAACACTATTGGTTAAAAATAGTCCCAAACAAATGCGTTTAAAAAGTTGCAAACAACAAGAACATGCAGAATAATCAGCCTTGTGTGTTGGATAAAGCTGGATTGCCAGCCCGTTCTCATTCCCAGAGCATCAGACACCTACGCCTTGTCGCCTCCTTCGGCGCACATGGAAGCCTTCAGCGTCATGGTTCGACACATTGGGGGAGGCCCTTTAGCGTCATTGTTCATGTCTGCATGAGACGTGGAAAGCCCCACCACCACCACCACCCAAAGCACCTTAACCTTACTCTAACCATCACAGGGGTTTGTGCCTAAATGTAAGTTAGTGATTGTATGCATGTCGACTCCTTTGTGTTGCGCAGACCCAGGAAATTGCGGTGTTTCAAACAGACGCTGAAGGGTACCTTTAGAGTTATATATCTACACTTTGTCATGCTGTCTGAAGGTGTCAGTAATGACGCACAGAGGTGAGGATGTGTTGGATGTGTTAGATGTGTTGGATGGATCAGCAACCAGACTTTCACCCAGGAGACTGGTGTTTGTTTGTGAAACAAAAACTCAACATTGATTGTTTTTAGTTAAATAACATTACTTAACTTACGTAACTTAAGTAATGTAGTTATTTTAACCCAAACCATTTTTTCCTTAACCTAACTAAATAGTTTTGTTGGATGAGAATGGGTTGGGATTACAGGCCAAGGGGGAGTGGCCCCCAACGCCCCCAGCCTCACTGTGCCTTTTCTGGCAACTTGAATTAAGGAACCCTTTGGTAGAGATGACTTTTTAATGAGGGCACAAGCACTCAGGTGATGCGATACGCATTCTTGTTGCCATTTTCACATTATTTCACTGATTTACAGTTAGTGGTGATCATGCGACAAAACCCGGCTAACGCTTGTAAATTCCTATAAATGAGAATAAATGTAAATGTGTGAGAAGATAAAAGTAAATAATAAAGTTGTAATGAAAACAAAGGAAGTCTGTGTTTCCGAAATGCTTACATGGTTCATATTTGTGAATAAATTTGTATTAAATCAAATAGTACAATTTCTTTGACACCGGCAGGTGGTTGTGTGCAACATGCTACATTCACAATACAGAGATCACAATACAGAGAGTGAGTAGAGAATGTGATTCATTGATTGAAATTTGTTATAGTGCCAGTAAAGAACTGTATTAAATGTGAGAGCTTCCTTCATTTGTGAGTGTGACAAATATCTCACAGGTAAACCAAAACTGACAATTTAACAGATTCATGAAGATTTACTGCTACATTTCAGAGGGAAATATTATCTCAACTGCATTTATCTGACAGCTTTAGTTACATTTTACACACGCTTGTAAAATACACGTGCACATGGAAATTTAATGAGTGTCTCCTCGTCGTGTTTCAGTTGTTGGCAGTTGCATGATGATTTCATTTCAGTAACTGTTCAACTGATCCAAAAGCTCATTTAATTGAAAGAAAAGTCCAAAAACTGAAAGTAGATTTGAACTTTGTTTTTGCTAATTTAATATAAAGTGGTTAAAGCTCCACCTTGAGCAGTAATGTGCTGCTCTAACATTGATACCTCAGCAGAAACAATCGATTAATGTCAGACAGAATCAGATATCAGTCACAGGAGATGCTGCTGGATTTTAAATGCAGGACTTTTACTTGTAACTGTGTATTTTTTTATCATTGTATTGATAGAATTTGGTAGGCAGCAAGAAACTATATTTGACCGCAGTATGAATAACTTATAAACAAATGCATTAAAGGATAAGTCTGGTCATATTTAATATTTATTTGGACTTGGAGCTGAGAGACACAGACAGGAAGTCAGACAGTGTCAAAAACATAAAAATCTAAAATATCACCAAACTTAAATATCTTCTTGCATTTTTGGAAAACGATTTACATTTGACTTCATGGTGTTTGGTGTGTCGACTGAACATTGGTAAGTTACAATAAAAAATAGTTCGGGGGCTTCTTACCACATCAGATGACCAAGAGTGTCGTCGAAGTAAAACAGAAGCTCAAAAGAGTCGATCTGCAAAACAAAACAACGTTCATCACTCTGAGCCTTTATCAGAGAGACTGATGTTCTCTTCCTTCGTTGTGTCTTTACAGGAAAAACTTTTTCATGATGTCCCCGAGATTGTGGGTCTGTTGTGTTGTTCTTATTCCTGACACGTCCTCACAGGCAGGTTCGCAAATTCAATTTCACTTGTAATTTTCCACATGGCGGAGGCTGCATCAGACACATGTACTGTTGTAAATTGTTGTAAATTGGAAATCATTATACATTTACTTTCGGTCAGTTAATAGAGTAATCATCTCAGCTCTCACATGAAGGTAAAATGAAATTTGCTGATGAGGACCGTGTGGTGTGGTTGAAATTATTTTGTCCAAATCACTCAGGCACTAATAGTCAGGTACATATAATTCATATTTAAAAGAGGGGATGCATCTGGCCCTTATTTTTGCTAATGACTTATCAATCAATTTTCTAGTAAAAAAATATTTAATAATTATGAAGTAACTAACAAGTCTTATCTTAAGGTTTCTGAGCAGCAGTTGAAACCTCCAAAGATTTAGATTAAACTAAGTTTAACACGCTGTTTTTATGTTTGGTGATTGTATTCAGTTTGATAACTGACTAAACCATTAAGGTGATAATAACAGACTATTGATTGACTGTGAGGCTAGTTGTTTCACCACTAGCTGCAAGCATCAAAGTCAAACCTGTTTCTTCAGGCTGTTGAATTTAACAATTAAAAATCTAACAGAATATAATGTAGTGCAGCTCTCAGGCATTCTGAGAAAAATTATGTGAACCCTTGGTTTTAATAACTAGTTGACCCTCCTTTGGCAGCAATAACCTCAACCAAACATTTCCTGTTATTGCAAATCAGACCTGAACAACGGTGAGGAGGAATTTTGGACCATTTCAGTTCAGCGATATTGTCCTGCAAAATTTCCTGATAAGCCTATGATAGAAACCCTTCCAGACCCTGAGGCAGTGAAGCAGCCCCAAACCATGATTCCCCCTCCACCATACTTCACAGTTAAGATGAGGTTTTGATGTTGGTGTGCTGTGCCTTTTTTCCTCCACACATAGGGTTGTGTGTTCCTTCCAAACATCTCAACTTTGGTTTCATCTGTCCACACAATATTTTGCCAGTAGTGCCATAGGACATCCAGGTGCTCTTTTGTAAACTTCAGACGTGCAGCAATGTTTTTTTTTTTGGGACAGCAGTGGCTTCCTCCGTGGTGTCCTCCCATGAACTCTATTCTTGTTTAGTTTTTGACTTATCGTAGTCATCAACAGAGATATTAGCATGTTCCAGAGATCTCTGTAAGTCTTCAGCTGACACTTTGGGATTCTTCTTAACCTCGTTGAGCATTCTGCGCTGTGCTCGTGTAGTAATATTTGCAGGACAGCCACTCCGAGGGAGAGTAGCAACAGTGCTAAACATTTATAAACAATTTCTCTTACAATGTACTGATGAACATCAAGGCTTTTAGAGATACTTTCATCACCCTTTCCGGCTTTATGCAAATCAACAGTTCTTAATCTTATGTCTTCTGAGAGCTATTTTGTTTGAGGTTCACATCAGGCAATGCTTCATGAGAATAGCAAAATTAAAATTGTGTGTTTATAGGACAGGGCAGCTCTAACCAACACTTCCAGTCTTGTCTCAATGATTGGAGACCAGGTTGGTTGACTCCTGACTCCACTTAGTTTTATTATAAGTCATAAGCCTAGGGGTTCACATACTTTTTCCACCCTGCACTGTGAATGTATAGACGCTGTGTTCAATAAAAACGTGCAAACATATAATTGTTTGTGTGGTATTAGTTTAAACAGACTGTGTTTGTCTGTTGTTGTGACTTGGATGAAGATCAGATCACAGTTTATGACCAATTTATGCAGAAATCCAGGTAATTCCAAAGGGTTCACATACTTTTTCCTGCGACTGTAGATATTCCCTCCTTTTAAAATATAGTGTACTCATCAATCTAAAACACAGATTAACGTGTTAATGTGCAGCTGCAGAACCCACCAGGGAGGAGGGTTCCAGGTTCTTCATGACTGGATTCTCTCTGACTGACAGATGCAGCTCGTAGCCAATCAGCAGCAGCCGTCTGATGATGGAGTCGGCCGCCAGGTGGAGGCTGGTTCCCATGATGACGGCGATGATGCCGAGGTGGACGACATGGCGGGGCAGTGTCCTGGGGCTGCGTTCAAGCATCTGCATCAGGAGAACAGGTGTTTTGATCTGACTCACGAAAGAAAAGCATCTTCACACGAGTTTGTTATTCAGTGAGTGTCTCGTTTACTTTGAGCAGGATGAGCGGTGTGGTGATGTTGTACAGTAGGTGGAGGTATTCTGCAGCACCGGGACGGTTCAGAGGAAACCAGTCTGCTGGGAAGACGAGCTGCAGGCAGCAAGAAACATGGATTCTGCATTTTATTTCTCCCTCACACGACTTACATTTAACATTTAGATTTATCAGTTTGAGTACATGTAGCTTCTTTCAGAAAAACTTTTACCATTAGCTGTCAGTGCTGTACCAGATCATTGGGGGGATATTTTAACCTAGAAAAAAAGTTTAAGGCCCTGAAAACTCATTTTGTCCAATCAGCTTCCAACTGTGAGCGATGGGATCCTACACAAACACATTTTCTGCAGTTTGGTTATTTCACGAGGGAGAGTTCAGTTTTTCTTTCAGTCTATGTGTTCTTCTCACTCATGTGTTAAACTCAACACGAGTCATAAATATTTCATGTTTAAGTGAAATAAATTTCAGGTTTTAAGGGGCTTTAAAGAGAAAATGAAATACTGAGAGAGGGACTATTTCTGATGTCCTGCTGGGGACAGAGTGGGACGCTGACTTTAGCTTTAAAACAACACATGCACATGAACAAACAATGCAAAATATGCTTTCAGATATTTCTGTTTAATCTAAATTTCATATATGCATTGATTTAGATAACTCACAGTATTCAGTAGTCAGCTACACTGACTAATCAATGCTGTGACTAAAAGCTGTAATACTGTAAAAGCAAAAGATCATTAAAGGAGATCAGACTTGCTGATTTACCCTGAGGGTCTAACCTCATTGATGTATGTTTTCTTACAGCTCCTCTAATTGTCTTTCATCCACACAGATTGCTGTTTCTCACTTCTTTTCTCCGTCTCTCTCCCTTGCACTGTGGTGTGCGTGCCATTTTCTGTAGGATGATTAATAAAAGATTTGAGCTACCACTGCAACTTTAATTAAAAGCAGAGTCCCAATTAGGCGCCTGTCCCCTTTCCTGTCCTGGTGTGGCTACACTGTTTGACAAATAAATGCAGGATAGTTTATTTAGTTTTCTCTGGATGTATAAAATTTCTTGAAGCCCACCAAGTTGCCTGCTTTATTTCTAAGCTGCTTGGATTCTGCATAAAAACATAAATGTTAAAACTTTTGTCAGTATGGACATGCTGCACATTGTTAGAGCAGTTAAGATTCTCCACAATGTAATCGTTAAATTCATTTTACACAGACAATGAGCACCAAAGTATAATTCATTCAGATTTACTGGCACAGTCATTAGGTCCGAATATGTGTCTATTCCTCGATTATTTATAGTCCACCAATCAAAAGATTCAAAACGGGGTTTTGATAAAAATGAATCTAAGTTGAAATAAATGCAGTAACCTTCAGCTTTCATCCTTTCTACAATGGTGTTCCTCTCTCTCTCACTGCTGTTCAATAATTGATTTGAATAATTGATAAAAAGTTTAATTTATCAGCATTCTCACCATGAGGGTTTCTGGGTGAGGTGGTTTCACCAATCAAGACCTCTGTTTATTGTCCAGCAGACATTCAGCACTAACAGTGTCCCACTCAACCTGAACCCACCCTCTTTAAAAGAATTAGGAACCAGAGAAAGTGATAATTTGATAATGCCATGACAAATCATGATAATCATGAAGTGCTGAATTTTAATCTTAAATAATTGAAACTGGAAAACACAGCAGGAAAACAAAATCCATTAAACGGAAATAAACAAATTAAAAACAGATCAACATAGAAAGGATAATTTTCTCTTTTTGTGTTTTTTCTTCAATAAAGTCTTGGGTAATTAGGGAAACAAGACATTTATCCTGCAGGACTTATCGCCAGTTATCATCCTTTTACCGTGACAACAGGCCGGCCCACATCCAGGATCCAGTTCTGGACGGTGAAGCTCAGCCAGAGATCCAGGTGGAACCGAGGCTTTGACAGAACTGACTCCATCGCAGCAGAACCGGCCGACTGGCTGCAGAACACAGAACACGTTACAGAAGACAGACGAGCACAAAGGTCTTCTAACCAACTGATCTGAACCCAGCGACTCCGACTGCCATGAAGGAGATCCTAAATGTTGTAATGCAGTTAAAGAAACCAAAACGTATCTGAAATGATGCCGACGTAAAAAGTTAGCAACACGATTCAAAAGACATTCGTGAAAGCACCAAATCAACTCAAAGTAGGACAAATGAATTGTTGCCAGATACATTTTCACATTCGAGGAATTTGCCCTGGTACGTATCTGTGCTTAAGAGTACACATAAACATAACTACAGAAATATAAAAAAAATATAAATATAAACTCCTGATTCATTTGCTAATTAGAGCTGAATAATTAGATGGTTTTCTTAATGAGAGCGTTCAGGCCTTCGTGTTCCCTTCAGGATGAACTGTAATGACTTTTCATCTGGTATAGTTGATGTTAAGGCACCAAACTGCAACGTTCAGCCTTCGATTCTGGTCGAGGACCTTTGTTGCATGTCCTGTCTCTCTCTCCCCATGGTTCCTGTCTCTCCACCCTATCGACTGCCAAACAAAGACAAAAGGCCACAACACGCTGATGATTAGCAGGTATAATGTTTACAACATGTCCTCATACCTAAACTACACAATAGGTTATTTGTCAATTCCTCCAGAAACAACATCAATGACCGTCAGAAAGTATCAGTCCAGCAAGAGTTTGCCAGAGTTTCGACAAGCCCTACTGTGCTGCGATTGGCTAGTACTCGTCACTTGCCTGTGTCCTTGTGATCGGATGCTAGCTCTACAGCGAGCGTAGCCGCCCGGCCCACCTCCCCGCCGAACGCTTGCGGGCGTTTCTCGGGCTGTGGTCTCAGGCTGTAGAGGTGTGTCGCAGCAATCCAGAATAATGGACTCTTCCCACTGTGCCCCTCCATCCATTGTTGTTATGCTGTTAGTTGTATAAAGTTCCAGTACAAACGTACAAAGCAGGTATAACAGTACAACAAGTTCAAAATTACAAGGGTTTAGGCTGGGGGGAAATAAAATCTAAATTTATTTTTTAACTGCAAAACTAGCTGTTGCAGTTTTAATTGCTTTTTGCTTTAGAGACTGTTGAATTTGAGGAAGTGTTTTGTTGGAGCTCATTCCTAAAGGCAAAAAAGCAAAGCTTCTTATCTGTATTTACATTTTTGGATTTGAAATTAGTCTGTCACTCTTTTTTGCACTCCCTCTGTAGATTAAAAAGGTTTGAAACATTTAGATTTGTGTTAGTATTATTACATTATCATCAGTATCATCAGTAGTGTCAACGAGTGTTAGCCAATCACAGCACAGTAGGGCGGGACTTGTCAAAACTCTGACTGGAAAAATAATAACACGTCCAGCAACAGGCCTTAACTACGTTATGTAAGTCATGTGATGTTAAGTTAACACGTGGTTAACCTTGTGAAACGGTCACACTTTGATTAGGTTTAGGGAAAGTTTCTGGTTTGGCTTAAAGTAAGTACGTTAGGTAATTCATGAAAATGAACGAGTGATTCAGAAACGCCATTTAACTTAAAACTCAGCTGACTTAAAAGCTGGTCTTGTGTGTGTGAAAGTCCTGGGTTTGACTCATCCATTCACCTCCTTATGCGGACTTTCTCGCTCTTTATGCCACATCTCCATCCAGAGAGCCACGCATGGCTAAAAAGCGATAACGTTTTGGGTCTACGGGCTGACAGAGGAGCGGGTTTGATGAGTCCTGAAAAGGCCTGAAGCCAAAGTCGTGACCTGACGTATGCTCTCCTCCTAAAATCCTCAAACTCTGTGAATGTGGATTCCGTCCAGCTCTAATCTCATCCGTTCATCTGTCACACACCCAGCAGAGGACGGGCTAATGTCCTGCTGCATTCATTATGTAATCAGGTTACTGACATCCACAATCTCATTTTCAGAGAGGAGCCAGCGACGAATACATCAGCAGGACAAACTTCACAGACACGAACCAACAGCACAGAACACAATTCAGACTTCCTCTCAAAGTGTAATATATTTGTGAAATTTCATGTTCAAACTGTAAACCGACCCCAGGTTACACACCCAGCTGGGCTCAGTGCTTACTGGACGACAGAGTGGTGGGAACACTGGGGGGGGGGATAAAGACTAAAGTAATTTCTTCTTGTGGAATTAGATGTTCAAGTGGATGGTGAATTTTTATCTCCTGCGGGGTAAAAAGACTCTTATTATTCTGTTGTCCTGACGTTAGTAAGTCATTAAACTGTGTGTTTTTCAAGTGTAACATCCCACAGTGTCTCCGTGCACTTCATAAAAAAAGATTATCACAGAATGAGTTGATAATTTCAGCACAGAAATAATTAGGTTTTCAGTCTCGATTAAAAATCTGTCTCTCTGATTGGGCGAGTGGGGTACGGGAAGAAAATGCTCTGCCCACAGTAAATCATTACTCTTTGGAATAATGAGATTATGCTAAGCAGAAAGCATTTTCTGGGTAATAAGTAGTTTGACCTGAGCCAGTGAAGGAAGCACAGATCCTGTGCATGTGCTCAGGTGTTAGCCTGGTTTTAGTAAGACTTCTAGCAGCTGGAGTTTTTCAGTGAGTCAAATAGTCCAGTCCTGATGAGATGAACGCATGAATGAGAATGTGTGACAGTAGTCATGTTTCCATCCGAATTTAGCACAAACCTGAGAGAACGTGTGTCTCCGTCCACTGCTGCTGTGGGAACATGAGCTCATGGAGATAAACAGCTGGTGGAGCTGATTCTCCAGTCGCTGCCGTTTAACCACCGCAGAAGAAGAATAAGAGGCCTTCGTTAAATGAGCTCCAGTCAAAGCTCAAACCACGTGGAGACCGTTACGGAAATCAGACATTTCTGTTGGTTTCATGTGTTAATGTGACGAAGGTTCCAGCCTCCTCATCGCATTGTGTACCTCACCTGGGAGTCTTTCTGTATCAACACCTCAGCCTCTGTGATAATTGAGTTATTTATTTATTTCCAATGCATCTTCTTCTTTAATAAAATGTTAAAAGGAAACACACTTCATTTCAGAAATGGGTGTGGTTGAGGTGGAAGATTAGGGCTTTTGTCTCAAAACATTCTTAGTTCATTCTCAAAATCTCCATTGTTTTTTTTCTCTATTGGTTTCCAGTCCTCACGGTAAGGTTGATTGACTGATTGTAAATATAAAAGTGGCGCTCTCTAAGAGATGCTCCAACTACAAAAAAACATTACAAGGATAAAAACACAATAAAGCCAAACCACTTATTTCTATTGTGATCCTTTTTGGGAAGGCAACATCATTTCTCTTTAAAAAAAAAATCTAATTGACAATCCAATATTCAATAATGTTAATTCATAAAGATGACGTCCTACATAGAATCCAACAGGGATGGACTGCGACTGAAATTCTGCCTTTTATGCAAGCGTCCTTTGAGAGCAAGAAATATTTTTTTGTAGTTTTTATATATATATATATATAATATATATATATATATAATATAATAATAGTGTGTTTGTGGGATAAAATGAATGAGATTATGATGAAGACCTTCAAGAAGACCAGCTCAGGCTCACATGAACCGGTCACACACACAATACTGTACATCCCCAGAAACTGAGTGTGTTTTTTTAATATAATCAAAAACTACAATGTAGTCTCATAAAATAGAGCAGTGTGTGTGCATAAAAAATCAAAGCCCTCCTCTTCAGCTCTGTGCAGGCCTCTCCCTGGCTCAGCTTCCCCTGAGCTGGACTCTGCCTCTGCTTGTGCTGCTACATAATGCACGAGTAGAACATCAGTAATAAATATGACCTAAACAGCTAATACATGCAGACATGAGACTGAGACAAACATCTTGTAAGAGGTTAGCTGCTGCTTTGTTCCTTCTTTTCATAGGTGTCATTTACACTGGGGACGCTGGGGGCATGTCCCCACCACTCTTTGAGATAGCTGATTTTGTCCCCATCACTTTTTAAAGCATAATTTGTTTTTGTTTTTAAACACAAGAAATATAGCTTGCAGTTACATAACAAATGAAAATGCCTTCAAAAAAAGGTTTATTAGCACAATAAGAAAACATGAGATGCAAATAAAATATAGAAGAAACAAATGTGCATTGTCCAAAAAAAAACGCAAGCTGCAGATTATAAAATGACCCAAAAACGTGCAGTAACTTTAACAACTTCTTGACACAGTTTCTTTTTGGCCAAGTTTTCCGTTCTCTCCCTGTGAACATGACAAAAGTTGATTTAAAGGAGAAACTGATCTGAAATCAGCACAGAATGACTGAGAGCTGCACTGACTGAGATTCTGTTATATCGATATATTTTAAAATGTCACGTGCTACCACATTTTGTGTTTCCTTTCACATAAATAAAAATATTTCCACCATAAATTGGTGCAGAAACTGTCACCAGAATGCAGGAAATTAAGCCTTTAATGATCAAAATTTCAACATTGGGGATATCTTTAAAACGCTGTTTAAGGATCTTATCTTCTCGTTCTCATAAACCTAATAACGTGTCTCATGATGTATCACAAGCTAAGTGTCTCTTCATACCAGTTATCTGAGCCCCTTGTCTCCACCTCTTTTCAACACAAAGGGACGCCTTTGTTTCTTTTATTTTTTTTATCACCACCAATTCCTTTTTCCTCTTTCTTTCTTTTTGCCACCTTTTACATCTCTGTCGCACTTGTCACAAAAACTGGATGGAAAGGAAACTCCTCTGATCGCCGCCATTGTGCCAATCACATTTCAGCAATAACGAGGATCAGTCTAAGTTTGGAGAGCTGCTCCCCTCCCGTCCAGCCCGGTCGCATAGGTAAAGTAAGACTTCAGAAATGGAAAAATAATAACAATTTGACTGTTCAGTCACAACATTGCTTTACTCTATATGAGTGCATTCAGTTTTAATTAAATTAGATAAGCCTTTGCAAAGCAAGTAAAAACTAGTGTGAACAGCATATTGACTACAGTGCAAACTATTTACTATCATACTATAATCATTATGAGGGCAATCAGCACTCAGCCATTTTTTAGTGAGGACTTAAAGCTGACTTAAGAGTTGATCATCTTAATGCTCATCGGTAACCCGTTCCACATAATGCAGCTGATTACAGGAAAGTGTCCTTCCCCATTCAACCAAATCAGTTACACTCCCTCTTGTGGTGTAATTACGGGATGCCCTGATTTTGGGAAAGTAGTTGTGCAAGTACTCTGGAGCCATCAGCCTGAAGACACATTTTGATTTGTGAAACTCGCTCTTCTACCCTCGGCCATTTAAGGCTGATGAAAGGAGCGAGGAGTGTCCTAGATGGAAGTTTAAGGACCAATCACCCTCGTTTCTTTTGCAATGTCTGCAGCTTCTTTTTAAGAATCATAGGTGCACCTGCATACCAAGACAGGCACGCATAATCAAAATGACACTGAATAAGAGCTCCTGCCGATGTACCATCACAGAAGAATGACTGAAATCCATCCAATCAAACCGGTTTGTCTGTAAAGCATCCACTCAGGAGGTTAACCTCACCCAAACAGAGTGGAGGAAATGACTCAATTGTGATCCGAGTTGTTTTTCAGTAGTGAGTGAGGAAGAACCTTTTGTGGTTCAGGTGCCAAAATAAAACCAGGAAGGAGGTGCATCTTTAATCATCACCGAGCTGTGTGAATCATTAGAGATGACTGGAATAGTCGATTAAGGGTGGGACTAATTATGAAAAATTAATTTTACAAACCTGCACATGAAAGTTGCTGCATGCAGAGCTACGTTCGGTCTCTTCCGGCTGAATGGCTGCATCTCTCTTTTCCAGCTGGACGTCTGTTTCTACACTAAATTCAAAGAGTTACAGTTTCACTAGCTTTCACATGTAAATCCTCTTCTGTCTTGTGATGTTCTCTGAGAATCCCCGTCCTCATTGTGTCCTCTCTGGACTTTTCT